AATCCTACTTCCGTAGTGATACTGCCTCGGAAACCCAAGGAGGGGTCGCTATGAGTCGGGGCCGACTCGACAGCACATAACAACAACAACAACAAAGTAATTTACAAGGTGCATATGATTTCCAGTGTGAAGTTGATTAGGTTTTTTATCTTCCATTACAGAGTATACACAAGACCTCCCTTCCTTGTACTGACTGTCATGAATGCAGTTTGCATTCTTCTTCAAAAGAAACCTAACTGGACTACAGCAAAGTTACTTCTTTCAGAAACAGGTTTCCTGAAAAAACTGATTAACCTTGACAAAGACAGCATACCTGAGAAGGTAAAAAAATAAAAATAAAAAAATGCTAATCCCTATTTAATGCATAGTTGATGCATTCAATATTTGTAATCTAAAGGAAACAAATAGAAGTAGATTCTGTGTCAGAACTGGAATACAATGGTAAGAATTAAAAGACTAAATTAAGAATTAAAAGCAGAAAGCAAGCTGCTTAGTCAAATTTAGCAGGTTTCTTGGAAATGTCAAGGAAAAGCAACATCACCAATACTGGAAAATTCCATATTTCAGAATCAATTAAATGATGAAGAAAAGAGAAGTAAGAGGACGACAGTAGGGGAAGGTCTTTCTAGGTAGATTCCATTCCACTATGCAATTGTGCAAGTGCAGTGAGTGGATAAAAGTGTCCAAGATTTCTTTCTATTTATTTAACGAATATTATTCATATATCAATATGTGCCAGGCACTGTTCTAAATGCTTTACAAAGATTAATTCATGTGGGTGGAGATGAGTGATAGATTGGAGCACAGAAGAACTTAAAGGAAATATGGTAGCCTGCATGCCTTACTAAAGGATTTTATTGAACCATGTTTAATTCAGAGGAGTATGGATTTACTATAATACTTCAAGGAGGAGGAAAGGAAGGCTAAAGTCCAGAGCAAGAAGCAAAGTTCAGGCCACTGGTAGATGGGTCAAACCATGTTAGAGAAAGTCTTGTAGAAAAAAGAAGGGCTATGGCAGGGTAGGCAGCAAGTTACAAGGGCCTGGACCCAAAGCACTGTAGGTAGAAATAGAAAGAAAAGGCCAAACACCACTGATGTGTCAAGTAATACATGAAGCCACCAGAAGCTGGAAGAGGCAAGGAACAGACTCTCCTCTAGAGCCTCCAGAGGGAGTGTGCTCTTGCCAACACCTTGATTTTGGATTTCTGCTTTCCAGAACTGTGAAAAATGTGTATTTGTGTTGTTCTAAGCCACCCAGCTTGTGGTAATTTGTCACAGCAGCTATAGGAAACTAATACAGATTTTGGTATCAAGAAGTGAGTGCTGCTGTAACAAATATCTAAAAATGTGGAAATGGTTTTGGAATTGGATTATGGGTAAAAGATGGAAGACCATCTAAACTAGAATATTACATAGGAGTTGAACTTACAGCTCAGCTCAGAGGAAGACAGATTTCTAGGCATATCAATGGCACTGTACTACCCCAAAAGGGTAAGTACTCATTAATTCATTCAATAAATATTTGCAGATCATCTTCCTTGTGAGAGACAATATGACAGGTTCTAGGGATAGAATAGTTTACAACCAATGCATTCCTTGATGTTATGAAGCTTATATTGTAACAGGGAAGATATACAATAGCTACCTACATAATTAATTAATTAGTTGCAATAATGATCTGTGCTATCAGAAAGTATAGGATAAGATATGAACAAGATGAATTTGCTGGCAAATTGTTATATGCATGTTACTCATGAATTAATGCAACAACTGCTCAACCTCTGAAGCATTCTTAGCAAATATTGTTTTCAAGCTAACAATAATTAATAGTTCCTTAACAACAAAATGAATTTAAAAAATTAAAAATAATAATAGTTAATAGCTCATCGAAAGAACTAACAAAAAACATAAACACATTTTAAAATGATAACTAGAACACTAGTGTTGAGAATACACTACTGACCATGTAAATAATTCCACAAATTAGTTCTATCTGTCCAGGCAAAGAGAGACACGCCTGGTTAGAAATGGAAAAGGAATCTCAGTCTGAGAAAGATTTCATTCTGATGATGGCTCCCGAAGGTAGATGAATTGTACATCCGATTCTATACTAGGTTGTACCATTTTGATGTGGTAGGCCATGAATACGTGACACAGCTCCTCCATGAGTCCAGTCTGCCCCCAGGTCACTCCACCATTACTGACTAAACAGACCTCTGAATGGGGATGGGTCCAACCAATATGCCTCTTGAGTCCAGATAGAAGATGAGGGATCATGTTCCTAATAACCTCCCACCTAAGGTCCATGGGAGATTTCAGAACTCCTTATTCACCAAATTCCCCAAAGTGGGAGAAAGTTAACCTATTTTATTTTTGTTCTAAAGTGGAATTCCTTTATTAAAAGTATGGTAAAGTTAATGTAACAACAGTAATGATGGTTTTAATAGTGTCTTTTTTCCTCTTAAAAAATTTCTGGTATATATGCAATGGAATATTATGCAACATTAAAGAATAATAAAGAATCTGTGAAACACCTCATAATCTGAATGAAGTTGGAGGACATTACGCTGAATGAAATGCATCAATCACAAAAGGAAAATATTGTATGACTCTACTGTTATAAAAAGTCAAGGAAAGGTTAACACATGGAAAGAAACCTTCCTTCATGGTTACCAGGAATGGGAAAGAAGGGGAGAAAAAATTGCTAGCTAGGTAAGAGGCATGTATTGATTTGGGTGAAGGGAAAGGTGACACACCAAAACTGGGTGACCAGCACAATATCACAGGAAAAGGAAGACACAAAGAATACACAAGAGGTATAGACAACAAAGGTAAACACTATTACATACACAATGCTGCATCATCATGAATAATAAACATTAATCTATGAGTGGATACATATGTAGGCAGTCAAGATGATCAGATGTAGGTAGGTGAACAGCACTACATCCGTGGCCATATATACGTTTGGCAGACATTATTTCTACATATGTATTTATATGTACTATAGAAATGTTCATATATATATATATATATATATACACACACACACACACACACATATAGTAGATGTAATGGAGAAAAGTTATTGTTAACTTCTTAGCCACACCCAAACACCTTGAGGGAATGAGTCACTGGGCCTGCAGTCTTGGGACCATAGTCAAGCTCAATTGGCATAACATAGTACACAAAAACATTATTCTACATCCTACTTTGGTGAGTAGCAACTGGAGTCTTAAAAGCTTGCGAGTGACCAGCCATCAAAGATGCAATTATTGGTCTCTCCTCATCTGGAGCAAAGAAGAATGAAGAAAATGAAAGGCATGTGGAAACAGTTAGTTCCAGGGACTAGTGGACCATGAGAACCTCATCCTACATGACCATGACACCAAAAGAACTAGATGGTGCCTGGTTACCACTACTAACCACTCTGAAAGGGATCAAAATTGGAGATCTTGGACAGATTGGGAGAAAAATGTGGAGCAAAACTCAAAATCATAAAGAAGACCAGGCTTACTGCTCTGATGCAGACTGATGGAACCTCCAAGACTATGGTCCTTAGCCACTCTTTGGGCCTGGAACTGAACTCACTCCAATGAATCAACTTTCAGTCAAACAGTAGACTAATAAGGTGAACAATAGCACCAGAGAGGTAAGTAGTCCTTAGAACAATCAACCATGAGAGATCAAAAGAGCAGCATTTGTTCAGGGATAAAGCTCCAGAGATAAGAATGGATGGAAAAGAAGGGCAAAGGTAAACAGTAACCACAGGGAGGAAGTGGGAGGAGTGCTATTACATTGTGGGGATTGCAGTCAATGTCACAAAACAACATGTGTGTGAACTGTTGACTGGAAAACAAATTTGCTCATAAGCTTTCACCCAAATCACAACCAAAAGTTAAAAAGAAAATGACAACAACAATAGGATTACTAGTACTGGGACCATTTTGTACCCAGGTCTATGTCTTTGATTCTGCTATTGTGAAAAGTAGTGGACTCTTTTTTCTATGAAATAAAATTTCTTTCTAATGGTGATTAAAGAAAACTTCAAATCTATAGTATTTCTTTCTCATGTAATACATGAACTATATTCTCTCTAGGCTTTCATAAAACTGAAAAAAATTTTAAGCTTACCTGATTTCAACCCAAGCAAGATTGCTCTAGTTTCTGTTGCCTGTTGCTCTATGTGCCAGTGGGTTATAGCTTTGAATAATTACCATGAAGTACAGAAGGTATGCTTTTTCCTCCTAAATATCTGTAATAACTTGAAAATGACACATCAAAGTCCCAGAAATAATTTTTATTTAGCAATGCTTAAATGAACTTCTGTGGAAAATAATACCTAATGAAAACCACTTTACTCAAATGTATTATGATAATTCATACACATGCCAGATGTTAAATTCTTTTATTTATGACAATCAAGCTATTGTTTTATTTCCTGGTCTTAAAATTTTTTACTGTAATTGACTACTCCATATCCCTTTTGTACCCATTAATTTTAGGAATTTTTAAGAGTTGATATCTATCTTAAAAACATAAGTGGCATTTTGAACAGTAAACATGATTTTTTAAAAAAATTTTAAGAGTTTGTTTTACATTCAATGTTACGTGTACATTTAGTTTCACTCCCCATTTACCATGCCCATCCCTAACCCAGTATCCTCCCCTCCGTGCCCCATAACCCTCCCCCCATGCCCCTCATAGTTATCTACTCCTGTCTCTCCTGTATTACATCCATGAGAATGTTGCCCTTCTGGTGCCCCATGGACTATTGCTCCAAAGGATGTATTTCCATAGAGTATGTGGGTGCATCACCCTGGGTTGAGTGGTCTGCATGTACATCTTGTTAACTATTGGGCTGAGAGTCAGCCCCTGGGAGTGAGTTTTATTCCAGGTGCAGAATGTATTCCAGGGCCATAGTATTGGGAGTCTCACCAGACTCCATCCAACCAGTAATTCTGGTCATTATTGAGTTTTGGGATTTTGTTCCATGTTTTCCCTCCCACTCTATCCAGGATTTCCAGATTTGATCATTTCCTGAGTGGTTGGCATTGGCAGCTGGGCACCATCTAGTTCTTCTGGTCTCAAGGGCCATCTAGGGCTGATTGCTTCCAAATGTTCTTGTTTTTTTTGTGTTTTTTTTAAAAACTCTTCTTTGCTTCTGATGTTAGGAGACCATTAAGTGTATCTTAGATGGCCACTTGGAACCTTTTAAGACCCCAGTTGCTACTCACCAATGTAGGATGAGGAACAAGGGTTTTATGTATTTTGTTGTGCCAAGTGAGTCTGGTGTCCCCCAGTACTATGGTTCTGAGATGGTAGATCCATTGGATCTCTCTCCCATAGTGTCTGGGTGTCTATGAAGGATTGCTCTGTGTCTGTCTTCTATTGTTTCTGTAAGGATTGCAGGTATTTTGTATCACTGGTATCTGTGAAAGATTAACCTGGGCTGAATCTCTCCTTGGTCTGGAGAACATGCCTGTTCACTGACCCCCATCTGGTCCTCTCTGGTGTTTGTGTTTATCTGTACCCTGGTGTTTGGTGTTAATGGTAATGCAGTATTGTGGGCACACTGCTTGGTATTAGCATCTGTCGGCTATCTCCTATGTGCACAATTCAGTGTCCTCTCTTTTCCTAATGTTATCATGGTGGTCTCAGACTCTTTCCACATATCCCTCCCCTTACCTATGTCAGCGTGTTGGCCCCAGCTAGCCTGAAATTAATCCCTCCCCTTTCCTCCCCACCCTGGTAACCTGGAACAGAGCCCCCCTTCTCAAGTAAACCCTTCTTTGTCTTTTTACAGTAATCAGCTCATACAGTACTTGTTCTTCTGCCATTGACTTATTTCACTCAGCATAATGTCCTCCAGGCTCATCCACATTGTGAGATGATTCACATATCCATCATTGTTCTTCAATGTAGCATAGTATTCCATTGTGTGAATGCACCATAATTTGGTTATCCACTCATCCACTGACGGGCATTTAGGTTGTTTCCATCTCTTTGCTACAGTGAATTGTGCTGCGATGAACATAGGTATACATATGTCTGGTCGTGCAGTGTCTCTCACCTCTTTTGGATATTTTCCTAGTAATGGAATTGCTGGGTCAGACAGTATTTCTATTTTCAGTTTTTTAAGGAAACACTATACTGTATGCCACAATGGTTGTACCATTTTACAATCCCACGAGCAGTGCACAAGAGTTCCAATCTCTCCTCAACCTCGCCAGCATTTGCTATTTTCTGACCTGTTGAACTTTGCTAATATTGCTGGGGTGAGATGATATCTCATTGTTGTTTTGATTTGCATCTCTCTAATTACTAATGATTGCAAGCAGTTTCTCATGTGTTTGTTGACCACCAGTATATCATTTTTGGTGAACTGTCTGTTCAAGTCTTTTGCCCATTGGTGAATTGGGCTATTTGTCTTCTTGGTGTTGAGGTGTTGAAGTTTTCTATAGATTTTGTAGATAAGTCCTTTATCAGATATGTCATAGGCAAATATTTTCTCCCAATCTGTAGGTTCTCTTTTTACCTTTTTGATGAAGTCTTTCGATGCACATAAGAATTTAATTTTTAAAAGATCCCAGTCATCTAGCTTCTCTTCTACCTCCTGTGCATTCTGGGTTATGCTTGATAGTCTATTTATGCCATAAATTAAGGCTCCCAGATTTGCCCCTATTTTATCTTTGATGAATTTTATCGTTTTGGAGTACACCTGATTTTTTTAAACACTCAAATGTTGTGACATTCTTTTTAAGGTGATGGGTCCTAAACAAATGCAAGTGGCTGAAGCACAAAATGTCCTTAAAATTGCAGGACAAAGGTTAGCAGAGAAACAAAAAGGTCTGCAGATGGTAAGAAATTTTTTATTTGTTAAACTCTCTGCAACTTTATGAATTAAACAAAAACACTTTTTTAAAAAGGTCATTATGTCAATAAAGCTAATCAGTTAAAATGGGGCTATTAATATAGCTCCTGATGAGATTAATTATAAGGATTAAGTGAGATAATACAAATAATATGTATAAATCTCTTTGTCAGTGTTTTCCACATAATAAAACACTATATAAATAGTTATTGTTGTCTCAAAAATATTTTAAGTTACTATTTCATCAAATTTCTCCCAGGGAATCTTTATAACCAATCTACCAAAATTTACCCAATATCAATCTTGTTTTTCTAAAAAAAAAAAAAAAAAACTGTACTTACTCTGTTTATATCCATTATTGTGTTGCCTTGTCGAGGCAGAGTTATTCCTTAAACTCTTGGTTCTAAGTAACAGTGGAATATAACTATGGGAACTAGAATTTCCATTGTTATTATCAATACCTGTCACCTACTTAGCTCACAGACATTTTGAATGGGTGAAATAATATACTCCAGAGATGGCAAACTAGCAGGCAAATTGTCATGTCAGCCATTGAAATCCTTTGGCCTGTACAGTCTTTCTCCCTTCACCCTAAATTTTAATATAATTATCAACATTTCAAAATGTGTCAGTTTCCTCAGGACCATAGTACAGGGGGACACCAGGCTCAATTGGCACAAAATACACAAAAATCTTATTCCACAACCTACATTGGTAAGTACCGACTGAGGTCTTAAACTCTTTCAAGAGTCCATCTAAGATGCAGCTAATGGTCTCCTATCATCAGAAGTGAAGAAGAGTGCAAAAAACCAAGAGCATTTGGAAGCAATCAGCCCTAGGTCATGATGGCCCTTGAGACCAGAAGAACTAGATGGTGCCTCACTGTCAATGCCAACCATTCAGGAAAGGATCAAAATTGGAGATCCTGGATAGAGTGGGAGGAAAAACATGGAACAAAGCCCCAAAACACAGTAATGACCAGAATTACTGCTTGGATGGAGTCTGGTGGAACCCCCAATACTATGGCTCTGGGATACACTTTGGGCCTGGAACAAAGCTCACTCCAAGAGGCTGATTTTCAGCTCAATATTAAATAAGATCTACACACAGACCACTCAACCCAGGGTGACACACCCTCATACCCTATGGAGATGCATTCCTTGGAGTAATCGACCATGGGACACGAGAGGGGCAACATTCACATGGAGGAAATGCAGGACACACAGAAGTGCGTAACTATGAGGGGCATGGGGGGCAGTTTACTGGGCAGGGAGAGGAGAATACTGGGTTAGGGTTGGGGATGGTAATTTGGGAATGAAACCAAATGTACATGAAATGTTGAATGTAAAACAAAACTCTGCTCTGTAAATGTTCACCTAAAGAACAATGGGGGAAAAAAGTGTCAATTTCATTTATAATTTGAATTTCTGTATTCTTTTTGAAAATGAGAAAACTTGGCAACTTGGACTAGCCTTCTCTCCTAGCTATAATCAGCCCTTTAGATTGAACATGAGTCATCAACCAGCTTCAAGTATTTATGTTACCTATTTGTCCCAAAAGGCATTCTTGCAAACTGATATATATATATAAAGTACTTGATATTTTCAATAGAAATTAACAATACTTAAATGAATTTACTTTGTATTGATAATGCCATTTTATTGATAATATTTTATCTCAGATTATGATATATAAGATTTTACTTAGATATGTGCGGATAATAACATTTATTGAGCACTTACTATGTTCCAAGCACTATGCTAATATATACATTATCTCATTTACTCCCCAAAATAACCTTGAAAGGTATTATGTTTACAAGTGAGAAAACTGAATTTGGAAGACTGAGTAATTTGCTCAAAATCTCAAGCTACTCAGTGGTGGCACCCACATTCTAACCCATGCTTGTCTAACCTGAAAGTCCATGTGCCTAACTCCCACACTATAAAATATTTCTAGCTGAGAATGACATTCAAAATATCTAGCAAGTAGTGTGGCACAAGCACCTACCAATCAGAATAGAAACCTCATGAGGCAGGAGCAGGGTCTAAGAGGCCTCCAGCTGGGTAATAAAGACAGTATGGGACTGGGGTGTGCTGTGCGGTGGTGGTGAAGGTGCTGTCTGGGATGCAAGGCAGGACTATTTAGCAACCATTACAGAAATACTTCAACATTTTAACAATTGCTTTGCCTGCATCGGTGTATACCACTGAGTACCAGCCTTATTCTGTCCTCCACTTAAATTAGTAAATGGAACAGTCTCTGATAAGGAATAAAGTTTGCTTCAGAATTTTAAGAACAAAATTATTCAACTTGGAAAAACTGAGAGTTCAAGAACAAATCTTTTTTAACTTAATGAAAGTGTTCATTACTTTTTTTATAGCAATTACTGGAAACATTTTGTAAATCAATTTGAAAACCTCAATAATATGCCTGATATTCCAGGAAGTTCTTTTCACCTCCCTCCACCCCCTGCCCCAAGTTAATATGTGTCTACTCTCTAGTTAGTGGGAGCTCTGGTAGCGTAGTGCCTAAGGCACTTGACTGCTAACCAGAAGTCTGGCGGTTCAAACCCACCAGCCACTCCTCAGAAGGAAGATGGGGCAATCTACTTCCATAGTGATACTGCCTCGGAAACCCAAGGAGGGATCGCTATGAGTCAGGTCCAACTTGACGGCACATAACAACAACAACTCTAGTTAGTAATTTCCAGGAATTCTTAGTCACTAAAGATCAATTTAAAAAAAAAAAAAAAAAAAACTTGAAAGCCTAAACAAACGAAAATTCATGGATTTCAAAAGTTATCACAATAAGATATTATTAAACAATGGGGTGGGGATGAAGTACTGATACATACATGGCTGCACCTTGAAAACATTATGCTTAGTGAAAGAAGTCATTCACAAAAGACCACATATTACAAGATTGCATTTATATTAGATCTAGAATAGGCAAATTCAGAGAGACAGAAAGAAGATTGGTGGTTGCTTAGAACCGGGGTGGGAGGAAATGAAGAGGAAATGGACTTCTAACTGGTCTCCCAGCTTCCACCTGTGTCTCCTACAAACTATTATCAGCACATCAGAGTGATCCTTTAAAAATGAAAATCAGATTTACGTTTTAATGAGGGTAGAATCCAAAGTCCTTTCAGTGGCCTACAAGACACTTGTAGACCATCTGGCCGCAGCTGCTACTCTGCCTCTGGTTCCCTGTACTCCAATCAAACAGCCCTTCTCTCTTTTCTTCAAATATGTTGGGCACAGTCCCACTTCTGGGCCCCTGAAACTCTTCTTCCCTCTGTCTGGAAACTTCTTCCCCCAGGGAGCCCAATAGGAGAGGAAAGAGGACATGGTTCCCTCTGTGTGCTCCAAGTCTCTACTCAAATATCTCCTTTTTAGTGAAGTCGACACTGACTACCTTTCTAAAAATTACAATCCCCTCTCCTCAGCACACCAAAAACTACTCATTCTTTTTGTTTGTTTGTTTGTTTGTTTTCTGTAACACTTATCACCATCTAACATAGTATGTAGTTTAATTATCTCTTAGGTTTATTTGTTTTCCTTGTTAGAATATAAGTTCGACAAAGACAGAACTTTTTGTCTCTGAAAAAATGTTCAACAGTGTATCCCCAGAACTTAGAACCATGCCTGGTCTACAGTAGGCACTCAATTAATTGTTTTTAATGAATATTGAATTAATTCAAACGAGGACATGACAAGGATGTCCACTCTCATTATTATTTTTTAACAATATTCTGAAAGATCTCAGAAAAGTAACTAGACAAAAAGGGTAAATACAAGGTAACTCATGGGAAAGTAGAAGGCAAACTTCATATTTTCTGCTAACATTGTTACACAGCATAGAAAACACAACAGAACTGAAATAAGAAATTTTGCTAAGGTGTGTACTTTCAAAATTAATATGAAAATAAATAGCTTTCCTACATATGGACACCACTTAGAAAATTTAATGGAAAAACATCTCATTTATAGCAGCCAAAATAACAAAATATCTAGTAATAAACTTTATTACAAAATGTGCAGTATCACACACAATGTTACATAATGCAACACTAAAGAATAATGTAGAATCTACAAAACACTACATAACGTAACTTGGAGAACATTATGCTGAGTGAAATAAATCAATCCCAGAAGGACAAATATTGTATTAGTTCCTTACTGTAAAAAGTCAAGGAGAGGTTTATATATGGAGAGAAACTTTCTTTGTTGATTACCAGGGGTGGGAGGGGAGGGGAGGGAACATTGCTAGATAAGTGGAGACAAGTATTGCTTTGGGTGAAGGGAAAAGCAATGTACCAAATATGAGTGATCAACATGGTGGCATTGAGGAAGAGGAAGACATAGAGAGGTACATGGGAGGTACAGACAACAAAGATGAACTCTTTTGCATGTGCAGTACTGTGTTGTCAGTGATGACAAGCATTGATCTACAGGTAGATAAATGAGTAGACAGGCTGAATGATCAGGTATGTCTAGGCAGGGGGTAGTGTGCCCATGACTATGTATAGGGTTAGCAGACAATGTTTCTACAAATGTATTTATATGTGCTAATATAAAGTGTAAGAATGTCCAGGTGTATAGTAGAACTGACAAGGGACAAGATTGTGGTGGTGTCTTGGCCACAGCCAGCTACCCTGAGGAAGTGGGTAGTTGGACCTGTGGACTCCAGACCATGATTGCAGGGGACTTCAAGTTCAATTGGCATAACATACTACACAAAAACATTGTTTACATCCTACTTTGGTGAGTAGCGACTAAAAATATAATAATAATAATAAAACGCACTGCCATTGAGTCAGATCCGACTCATAATGACCCCTTGGGTTTCCAAGGCAGTATCACTACAGAAGTAGATTGTCCAACCTTCCTTCTAAGGAGTGGATGGTGGGTTTGAACTGCTTAAAATCTTACAAGTGACCATCTAGATGTGATGATGGGTCTCTTCTCATCCAAAGCAAAGGAAAATAAAGACAACCAAAGATGGATGGAAACAATTAGTCCAAGGGACTGGTAGACCATGTGATCCTCAGCCTGTACAATCATGAAACTAGCGAATTAGATGGTGCCTGACCACCACTATCAACTACTTGGAGGAAGACCAGTGCAGGAGATCCTGGAGAGAGTGGGACAAATGTGTAACAAAATGTGAAACAAAACTCAAAATCGTAAAATAAAGACCATGTTTGCTGGTCTGATAGAGCCTGGTGAGACCCCTGAGACTATGGTCCCTAGTCACTCTTCAGGTCTGGAATTGAAATCACTCCTGTGGCTTCCAGACAAACAATAGACAGGCATATGGAGTGAACACTTACATCAGGTAGATACACAACTTGGAGCCATCAATCATGGGAAAACAGAATGGCAGTGTTTATACAGGGAGACAGTTTTGGGGGCAGGACTGCATGGGAGGGAAGGACACAAGGAAGAGGTAACTATAGGGAGGAAGTAGGAAGAGAGCTTTACATTGTGGGGAAACTGCAGTCAATGTCCTGAGACAAAATGTGTGTGAACTGCTGTGTGGAAAATGAATTTGCTCTATAAACTTGCACCTAAATCACAATAAAAAAAAAAAATTCAAGCCATTAAAAATATATAGACAAACAAACAAGCAACCTTGAACAAGTATTTCATAAAAGAGGCTATTTGAATGGTCAATAAACATATGAAAATGTAAAAAAAAAAAAAAGGGAAAAGTGCAGTATCAGTATAAAACAAACTTTAAAACTCCATCTAATAAAAGCTGTTCTTGAATGAAAACAGTATTCTACAGATGCCATTTTCCCTAAATTAATCTATAAACTCGGGAAGATTCAACTAAAATACCAGCAGATCCTTTTTGAAACTTCTCAAAACAATAGTACAAACATAATAAACTATTAAAACCTCCAAATGCAAAGCAAAGCATAAACAAAAACAAAGGACAAGGAATAAAGGAGGGAAAATATTTGCAATACATATGTCAGGTACAGTTTTATAATTTATAAAATGCTCAAAGTGAAAAAATGAACAGCTCAACAGCAAAACTGATCAAAGAATATGAATACTCAACTCAGTGCCACGGAGTCGGATCCAACTCATAGTTACTCCGCCTTGGGTTTCCGAGGCGGTATCTCTATGGAAGTAGGTTGCCCAAGTTTCATTCCAATGAGTGGTTGGTGGGTTTGAAATGCCAGCCTTCTGGTTAGCAGTCAAATGCCTTAGGCACTACGCCACCAGAGCTCATAAGAATATGAATAGGTAGTTTATAACCAGAAAGGAGGCTTGCTATAGCTGACAGCCCCTTCTTCCTACCAGCCTGACCTCAAAACTTAATCAGTTCCTCTGCTCTGCTCAGTGTATGTAGGGTTTATAAGTTTGATCATTTTCTTAGAGAAAGAACTAGGATAGGAAATAAAATTTTCTGTATGAAAAATAAATCAGAAAATGATTAATCTTCAAATGCTAGGGTTGTAAGAAAACCTGCTGGGGATGAAAGATAATATTTTTAAATAATAATAATAGTATCAAATCATTTAATCACTACAATGTACATTTTTATTGTAATAGAATCCATCTGTCCAGCAAGATATTCCAGGATGTAAAAATGAAGTGGTTACACACTCTCTTTATGTAAATGACAGATAAACTCTTTTTTATTATTTCTTTCATTTTTAATTTTCTGCAGTTTGTTTTACATTCAACATTTCGTGTACATTTAGTTTCACTCCCCATTTACCATTCCCAACCCTAACCCAGCCTCCTCCCCTCCTTGCCCAGTAACCACCTCCCTACCCCCACCCCATCCCACCCCCTGTGCCCCTCATCATTATGCACTCCTATGTGTCCTGCATTTCCTCAGTGGAATGTTGCCCCTCTGGTGTCCCAAGTGTGTAGTTGCGTCAGACTGGATTGAGTGGTCTGCCTGTACATCTTGTCTACTATTGGGATGAGAGCCAGCCCCTGGGAGTGAGTTTTATTCCAGGCCCAAAATGTATCCCAGGGCCAAACTCTTGAAGCAAAATGAAAGTAAGATTTTTGTCTCAATTACAAATTGTCTTTCAGATTGAAGAACATCTGCTGTCTTTGCAAGCAACCTACAAAAATGTCATTGCTGAAAAAGTACTACTAGCAAATCGGAGAAAACTAGCCACCAGGCGATTACAGTGTGCATCTATCCTACTAACTGCCCTGGAAGATGAAAAGGCATGATTTTCCTTGGTTTGATATTGACTCCAAAACTCCAAGATAATTTGCAATGAAGGCTACATCATATGCTTCTTAAATCTATCTTACTACGCAATTTCTTATTAAGACCAGTAGACTGTCCTATTTAAGCAAAATAAATACATCCTGGTCAAATAGTCTTGAAACAGAGATAACAGAGTGCAAAGATCAGAGGTTATTTTTCTTGCTCTTTAGGCCTCAGTACATTTTTGTCTGATGAAGCCCTGAGCAAACCTTTCAATGAGTATGTCCTGAGTTTCCCCTTTCTACATAGAAGCAATCCAAGTTGAGTGTATAAAGCTTGGGTGAAAAGAAAAAGAGAATTTTATTGTGTCCTGTTAGACTTCTGACCCCTTTTATTGCCTCTTTTAATCTCTCCTCTAATTTACCCACCTTCTTTGTACTTGAATCCCTAGTGAGCTGACCAGAATCTTGGCTTAATCACACCTTACCTTTTCAAAGGGTGTTACAAAATTCTCAAGATAATTTTAATTTAGTCTGATCATTTAAATAAATACACGTCATGGAAGATGCTTATACAAGACAGGAGGAGATTATGAAATCAGACCAATCAAAGAGAGATCACAGCCTTTAGAAGTTGATTGATGTCCCTGAAAGCCAAGTTGATGTCCAGAGGCAGTGAACCATCAGTTTATCCCAGATTGTAAGCTTCCAGAAGAGAGGGTTCTTGCTCAACATACGTTATTCATTGACCCATCACATCAAGCACATACATGGTTGAAGAAGGCTGCAGCATAGCTTGGAACAGGGCTCTGGAGCTGGAAAACTGGGTTCAGATCCTAGCTACACCCCTCAGAAGCTTTGTAAACCTGAGGAAGTTGCTTCACTTCTCTGAGCTTCAATTTCTTCATCTTAAAATAAACTCAGTAGTGTTTATTTGAAGAGCTATTGAAGACATCAAATGAGATTTTCAGAGTAAAATGCCTGCAAATAAGTAAGGAGTCAATCATGCTGACAAATCTAGGAATGAGAATAGTATTCCCCTCAGAAACTGTTCATTTTTAAACATTTTCCATTAATTTTTATACAATTACAACTTGAGAACAGTAATAGTAACAACAGATTAAACTTGGAGACCATTAATTTTTAAATGTTTAAATCTTCTAATGTTTAAATTTTATGATGTTTTATATCAAATATCAATAATGCATTTTTGTTTCAACATTTAGACTAGATGGCAAGAAACAATTGATCAAACAGACAAGAAATTGAAAGGAATTCTGGGTGACATACTTATTTCAGCAGCATGCATTGTCTACAGTGGAGTATTAACAGTAGAATTTCGCCAGCTGATTGTAAATAAATGGGAGAATTTATGTGCTGAAAATAACATTTCTTTGTCTTCAAACTTTTCATTAATTCAAGTCATGGCACAAGAAAATGAGGTAATAACAGGTTTTTATTACTCAGTTGAGCGACTTTTGTTGATTTGAATTTTGAGCATTCATGCATTTTGGGGTTTGGATCTTTTCCCCAAAATAATTTTGAAAAATGAGAATACTGCAATTTGTTCTAGACCTTAAAATTTTAAGCTATATTTCTAATGCCTCTCTCTTGTTTCATATTCTCTGGGCAAAAGTCACAAAAATATTCTTTTTCCCAACATAATCCTACTACCTTATCTTAATGAACATAGTCAAAATCTCTCCTTGAAACCCTTTAACTTAAAAAATAATGGTCAACTTCTTAACTGCAAAGTATTCTTAGACATAGCAAAAAAAAATATAGACCTCACACTTACCAATTTAATCAATAAATATTTATTATCTATTTATTATGGAAGGTTGGGCAATCCACTTCCATATTGATACTGCCTCGGAAACCCAAGGAGGGGTCACTATGACTCGACAGCAGTATGTTCGGTTTGGTTTTGGTATTTACTATGTAAGTCCTATGCTGATGTTGGGAGGATGAAAAAAAAATGCGTACTTTTTAACTCCTCAGAGAGTAATTTTAGACCTGTTCTACTTAATTTACCACCGATTCCATAAGGCTCAGAAGCAAATGCTGCCTTTTCATTTTCGTAACTCTGACAATGAATTCCACCACTTGTCTGTCAGTTTGTTGTACTTGTGTGTTGTTGTGATGCTGCAAGCTATACCACAGGTATTTCAAATACCAGCAGGATCACCCATAGTGGACAGGCTTCAGTAGAACTTCCAGACTAGACTGATTAGAATGAAGGACACCTGGCAATCTGCTTCTAGAAATAAATGGCCAGTTGGGAACCTTATGAATAGCAGCAGAACAGTGTCTGATGTAGTGCTGGAAGATGAGCCCCTTGGGTTGGAAGGCACTCAAAGCATGACTGGGAAGAGATATTTCTTCAAAGTAGAATCGACCTTAATTATGTGAATGGAGTAAAGCTTTCAGTACCTTCACTTGCTGATAAGTCAGAATGAGAAGAAACAGCTGCAAACACCCATCAATGCTCTTTAGAAAGTTAGATGGTAAGATTTCATCTCATATACTTTGGACATGTTATCAGGAAGGATCAGTCCCTGGAGAAGAACGTCATGCTGGGTGAAGTAGAGGGCCAGTGAGGTGGGTTGACACAGTGACTGCAACAATGGGCTCAAACACAGCAACGACTGTGAGGATGGTATAGAACTGGGCATTATGTCATTGTGTTGTACGTAGCGCCACTATGAGTCAAAACCAACTCACTGGCATCTACAGGAACAATAACAATGAATTTAAATGCAAATACATAAGTAATCACATTAAATATAGATAGGACTAAATGGTGTAATTAAAAGCCTAAGATTGTAAGACTGTAGGAAAATATAAAGCAAAGCACAAAACAGTAACCATACTTTTTTTATAAAGGACACATCTAAAGCATAAAGACAAACAAAGATTGAGAGTTTTAAGATGAAGTATGATGTAATTAATATAGGTTACAAAGGGAAGGACAAAATAAATTTTAAGAGAGGCGGGGCAAGATGGCGGACTAGGCAGAAGGA